CAGACTAGCTTCTAAATACGTACATTTCACACCAGACTATGAGATCTACTAATTTTGATACCTGGGCCATGTCTTTGAAATAACAAACAAATCTCAAGGTTGGATATGCTAGTCTGGGAAATGATGAGGTATTACAATACATTGACCCCAATCTTCCCACCTACTCACATCGGTATACTACGAACGACACAACTGTTGAAGGCAAATGGCCCCAAGTTCTATGACTCAGCATGCAGTTATTTTTTTAAGTTGGGTAATTTGCCTCCAAATGTCACACCATTTGTATAACTACACAAGAGAATTTTGGCTGTTATTACATTGGAAAGATGGCCATTCCAGAAATAGAATGGCAGATGGCCATTCAGTCTGCTTTTTCAGATTCTAGCCCCACACTGCTATCCAGTAGCCTACATCCATTTTAGAAACACTTGAATTCAAGGAAATGAAAGTCGGCATTCCCCCCTCTGCCCATCTCACATAAAGCACCAGGGAGACTGATAGAAAAATAAGTGGACATTCATTCAGAGTGACTGCATAATAAATGAACAACACAACCAACTCTTGCAGTTAGCAGCTAGAAGCAGAGAGGTGCAACCAAAGGTTATGTCTTAGAGGCATAAATTTACTCTCTGTGATGAAATGTAATCAGATCCCACCAGTTTCCACTTTGAAGTCTTCATGAAATCTTGTGAGGTTACAGGCCCGAACACATCTCTGCTCCTAGTCAACCAGCCTCTTTATTTTTTAATAGGCAAAAAGAAATATCAAAAGGAAAAGAAACTAAAGCAAACAAATGCACAGTAGGGTATTCAGTCCCCATTGCAAAAAAGACGACAGCTACATTTTGGAGCACAGTTAAGACTGTATTTTTTCAAAACCCTCAAAACAGCAATCCAATACCATCTCAGCAGGCAAATCCATTTCTGGGATCTCTCTCCCCTCCTTCCCTCCACTCCCCATACCATGTGAATAAGGAAAAGGGTGATTTTTTGTCTCTCCCCTCCCGCACCGCCACTTCTCTTGGAACAAGTTACGGGACTCTTCGAATTCCAAGTGTCCACATAAGTGCTTTTAAAAGATCAGCATTTGTGCTCATCTCGTCTATAAAAGTGCACTGAGTCCAATGTGAACAAACAATTCAGGGCTTTATGAGAACAGCTCAACTACTAAAAATGTCTGCACTGTTTTACTGGGATCTTTTATCCGGGACATGATGTTTTCACTTCCATGAGAAATGAAAACCAGCCAGCAACAGATGGCAAAAGTGGCGAGCTGAAGTTTGCATCGGAGACACGCTTTGTCTACAATAATGCCTTGAACTTTCTGAGACCGCTGGAGCAGTAAAACCCGAGGCCAAGCCAAAATACCAATGGCCATCACTTTCTGAGAGCAATTTTGGATCCTGGCCCTCCTTGAAGAACTTTACATGTCACACATTTGGCCTTCCGAGCCCTGACACCAAACCGCTTGTAGAGGAATCGGGTGAAGTGGGACGAAGACGTGTACAAAGGCCCAAAGAACGATACATCCTATTGTGCAGATGGGGGGGGGGTGATAAGAGTAGATAGGGAGAAAAAATAAAAATAAGGAGCTGCTTTGCTACTATGTATGAAACTTTGGGTACAGGTCTGGTGGCAGGAAGGATGCAGGCCAACACAAGCCACATAAATCATCTGTTAACTTTGGCTTCTGCATGATCGTGCCAAGTTTAAATCATCTATTTAGTCACACTTTCATGGCTGTAAATATGGGGGGGGGTGTAGAAAGAATGCTTTTAAAGTCTTTTCCATAGTAAGCCCATTTCCTCCAAATTTCTTTGGATGTGGATGCTAACAATAGCCCGGAAGGAGTGCTGCAAAAGCCACCAAGGGATGAGTAAGGTGCTGGGAAATGATGGGGATGCAGAACTGGAGACTCAAGAATAGCCTGAGAAAGCTGCGGAGTATGAAAGTCAATGGAACTTTGCAACACTTGGGATTGCCTGGTCAACTTTGACGAAGCCACCTTCAACTAAGCCACCAGTAGCTCCCCATATACTGTACACTTTCCTGCTCAAAAGAGAGACATTTCTCTGGGTATGTTTTAAGACACAACAAAGTTGTGTTTTTTTTGTAATGCTACTTATCTGTTCTGTCTCTCAGTTTCGAATTTGTTTCAGGAGTTTAAATCTCTCTCTCTCTCTCTCTCTCGTTGCTTTAAACTATAGTGGTTTTTTTGTTTCTCTTTAGAGAATTTTGCTGCTTTTTGAACTGTAGAAATGCATAGACGACAACAACAGTAGAAAAAGACGTGGTTGCATCAAATGCCTTAAAATAATTGGGGGAAAATTAAAAAGAAGCAAAATTAAAAGTCATTATATAAATAAATAAATGAATGAATGAATGAATGAATGAATGAATGAATGAATAAATAAATAAATAAAGCAAGCAAGCAAGCAAGCAAGCAAGCAAGCAAGCAGGTGACAGTAACGTAAGATTTTGGACTCACTGTATAAAACAGACAAACATCTCTCAACTGGTTGTTTTAACTGGATTGCTAAGGAACCCATGCCTGGTGAAAAAAGGAGAGAGATTTGAATCTCTCTCATATAGACAAGGTGTTATTCATGAATCTGTACCTCACAGGATGTTGATGTGCTACTCAAAGTTGTCTTGTGAGACTCAGGATCAGATGCGCTACACCAAAAGCTAGTCTCAACCAAAGGAAGGGGTGTGTGTAAAACCACAACCACCATAATTGCCCATTTGGGGAAAAGCACAAGTGGAGATTTCAGGTTTTGAGTAGAAGTAGAACTTAGAAGTAGAACTGCACTATCTGGGAATGGTACCTGGGAATAATAATAAAAACATCACCAAAAGGACACTTCCTACCATTAATTTCTAGTGTGTGGGGGGGTTTTAACATGGAACCCCCTCATCATCTAACTAGAGCTGCTATGTAAGTATAGGTGCCTTGTAACAGATGTTCTCTGGACAACTGGAAAAAAAGATCCCTCAATTTAGGTTTCCTTCTCAAAAGTAACCGGTATGAATGGAGAGATTGAAGCTGACATCACCATCTTATGGCATCCTGTCAATTCTGATTTATCGTGATCCTTTTCAAGGTTTTCCAGGTAGAAAATAGTTTACCATTCCTTTCTTCTGGGGACATCCTGGGACTGTGCAGCTTGCCCCCAAGGCCACACAGGCTGGCTGTACTGGCAGAGGGCACAGGAAGGAATCGAACTCCCAACCTCTAGCTCCACAGCCAGATTCCTAAACCACTGAGCTACCCAGCCAGCTCGCCTTAAACATGCATGTTGCCAAAGCCTGGAAAAGATAATTTTTTTCCTCTAGAACTCCAAACGTTTCCAGCCAACATGGGGGATCCTGGGATTTCTAAACCAAAATGATATCTTGCCTAAGCTCCTGGTGCTGCAGGCTGGCCTTTTTTTCAAGGCAGCTGGGGCATTTCTATTGCTATCACCTTAAAAATCAGACTTAAGGAGCTTTTTGCACAGCATGACTGATTAGCGTATAGGGTTTGGAAGAACAACAGAGAAGCGTTTCAAATCTTCATTCCATATGCTTAGCGGTTCAGTGAAAGGATTCCTTCTACCACAATCAAACACCAATTTGTGGAAGTTTGTTTCAGTTCCAGCGGTAATATAGTCTAATTATCCGTTAAGCACGATGGGAGCACCAGCGGGCTCAGTTCAGTTCCTTGCTGAAACGGGAACTGCAGTTCAATGGTCACAGTGAAGCCAATGGGATTCCTAGTTGAAGCGGCAGATTGCTTGTTCCAATAGACCACTTCCAAGGCAGAAAAAGGTGACAGAACAAGTGGACATATATTTTTCGTGTTTCACCATACCCACCAAGGCATGGAAACTCAGAACAGCCCAACACATTTTATTCCTCAGGTGAAGTTTGCAATGATGTTGTGCATTCATTCATTCCATGTATGGAAGCTATCCAGAATGACAATAGAATCTTAGGACAAAATCTTCTACCACATCTATAAATAACAGACTGACTCAGCAGAGGGCTGGAGCACATACAGAGTTCAGTCCTTTAGCATCTTGGTGGTCCTGGCTGTACTCTGGCATCTCTACCTCGAGGCAGCTGCTTTGCATTGCCTGGGATGATTGCTCTGTTTGTCCCCCCCCCCCCCAGATGGCAGAGTTCTTGATGACGCTGGCTCCTGTGCCATTGATCTCAACGATCATCTACTGTAACACTCTCTGCTTGGGCTGCTCTTAAAGTTGACTCGAGAGCTTGTAGCAGCAGGTGCAGTATATGGTGGCTAGGTTGATTCTGGAGTGAATAGGTTCAACCATATTGGATCAGTCGTGGCTAGCCTGTATTGGCTTCCTGTTTCTTTCCTAGCCAGATTCAAAGTTTTGGTACTAATGTGTAAAATGGTTTTGGGTTCCTTGCCTGTCAGAGCCTCTCCCCTGAAGAACTTCTGCTCATTCCACCCAGTCCTCCCAGTCCTTGCTCTTATGGGTGGCCACATTGAGAGAGGCAAAGGAGGTCTCCATTAGGAGTCAAGCCTTCTTGGTTGTGGCTCCATCTTTACCTTTAAGAAGATGCACAAGACAAAGGAAGCATTTAAAGATATCTTTTCACCAAGGGAGTTGAGGGATCTGGGTTCATCATACACCACCTTTATCTTTGGATTGTATGCTGGTTTTTCAATTTCTAATTTTTGTTTATGATTGTTGTGTATGATGGGATTTTCCCCCCTTTGGTCTTGGGGGTGGCTTGAGGTAGCTTATATATTGTCAACTGTCCAGATTAGTGCACGTCACTAAACTGGGCAGTATAAAAATGTCTGAAATGAATAAATAAATAATGACAGGACTGGCCAAGTCTCTGAGGATGTCATTAGCTACTGAGTAGCTTGGAGGACAGCAAGGAATGAAAAGAAAGGCACACAGCCTTTGCAAAACAAAAGAAAACAATGTCATCTACCAAAATGATGCTTCTAACTCATATTTGGCTACAGTCAGAACACACCTTTGGTGACCATGTCATGAGATCCATCATCCACAAAATTGGAGAGCTGTCCCCTGAAACAGAGACACTAATGGAGTAACTCAGAAGAAGAAAAATAAAAGTATAGTAATGCAGTTACTGAAATGGAAATGTTAATACATGTTGTATTCCAAAGCAATAAAGACCCGTATGAGTCACAAGATACAGTGAGTCACAAAATATATCAAAGGAAAATTGGGAATAGGCAGAGAAACTGCCATGAATTTCTGTACTGAATGAGCATTATGGAGAGGTCAGGAGCTTTATGGAGTTACCTATTTTACAACCCATTATATGACACATCTAAATGCACCCCTAGACATTTCACTTGGGCATGTCTTAAAGAAGCAGTTACAGCTCAAGGATATAATACAGTAATGGGCATGTACGGGCTACCAGCTTTATACGTTCCAACATTATATACATTGCTACAATATGTATGTGTATGGCTATATCTATACCTTTGAAAATTACTTTATATCATTACTATAAGATTGGGGGGGAAAACCCTCTTTTAAAAATTCTCAAAACTGCTCCAAGAAGTATATGAACATTGAGCCAATTTCTAGTCAACTCAAACAGAGCTCACCCTTTACTAACACAAGAGCTTGGAAAATCAGTTTTAAAAGTAATTAGCTACCATTCCTGTTTTGGAAGGTCCAGAAATATTTAGTCATGTTAGAATTACACTTTTTAAAATAATGCCCCCCCAATGATATTTAAACATGATTGTTATCTTCACTTACTGTTTAAAACACTCCAGAATGTGACAACTTGCTGGTCTGGGGTACAGAAACAGATCCATGGAGCGAACCCACATGCATCCTGTAATATTAACAGGAACGAAAATTCAATTGCAATTGCACAAATAAAGAAGTGATTTCATGTTATTTTATAACTGTAATGTAACTTACCGTATTTTTCTGTGTATAAGACAGTACTTTTGTCTGAAATCTTTAGACTAAAAATTGAGGGCCGTCTTATACATGGAAGTAAGCCAAGGAGAGAGCCACACGATTGCAAAATAGCACGTACCTTGCCTCTACAAACAGGCTTCCTCCAATTATGAGCCTTATGTAACTGACACCAGCTGATGCTGAACAAACCAATTGGAACACACCTCCTTGGAGGTGGAGCATGTAGGCAGTGCTCAGATGCAACAGGGACTGGTAATATCCGAGCGTTCTGAGCCCAGAGGCTTACTCAAGTGATATGCTCAAAGCGACGTGTGATGCATAACATGACAGCACTGGCATGTAAATGTTACCTAATTACTAAATAAAAATGTGTTCTGTTTTATGTTTAAAATATTGATTTCTTAATTTTGGGTTAGAAAAGTGGGGGCATCTTATATACAGAAAAATATGGTAGTTATGTCTTAGCCATTGCAGAAAGGAACTAATTACAAGGAACTTGTGGTTCTGAACTACTTATATCTGAGCTCTGGATATGCCATAATTGGTTAGTTATGCAAGTCACTCAGTACATGCTGAGAGGTATTTTTGTGCCCACATATAGGACCCCACCCTTGTATGGAAAACAGATTGTAGAGTTGAGGCGCAATGAGCCTTAGTACAACATCAAACTCCAGGCAGGGCATCATTTCCTGTCTAATTTGTCTGTGTGTGTGTGTGTGTGTGTGTGTGTGTGTGTGTGTGTGTGTGTGTGTGTGTGAGTGTGAGTGTGTGTGTGTGTGAGAGAGAGATGGTATAAAGGGATGGTTTGGTTTGTGCACATGAGAAAATCTTTGTGCCTGTGAATGGATGGTTTTAATTCCTTTGCCTTTTGGGGGGAATGGCACAGACACAATAAACAGGGATTTTGAATGCAAAATATATGCCAGCTGTTTTGTGACCTTTTATGCCACAATTAGCAGATTTCTCTCTCTCTCTCTCTCTCTTTTTCTCTCTCTCTTTCTCTCTCATCTGCAATGGGAAAGCTTAAACCAGATGTTCCTTCTTCCTGTATGTAGAAGCTTAGTAATAGGCCAAGAGGGAGGGCACTGTGTGAAAAAATATAAAATATGCTGAGACTTCCATTTCACTGGAGACCATGTAAGGAGGTGAAGCCAGGTGCATCTGCTCACATAAAACCACCAACTTCTAGAACTCAAGGGCCACCCTACCTTTTGGCACAATGAGGCAGCTGCCTTAGGCAGCATCAGACATAAAGGATGGACAATGAGGTGCTCCATTCTAGTGTTATGGGGGATGTAGTCTTGTTGCGGCTATTAAAATAAGATTCAGTTGTCAGTCTGGATGTCAGGAGGACAATATCTTGTCCTTCGCCTCAGGCAGAAAAGATTTGGGGTGGCCCCTGTGAGGTCTTGCTAACTTCCTGCCTCTCCCATTCTGGAGGGCCATCGCTCCTCAGAGCATTTCCCTCCAATTTGAACACCAAGAAAGGGAGTGACACACTGAGAGGCCTCACCTCTTTCTAACACAACACAGTGCCTTGCTTGCTGTAGAAAACGGGTACCCAAGTAGAGTGTTCAGAGTGAAGAAAAGAGAAGTAAAATTCATGCATTAAAAGGCTAGTGAGAAAGTGAAAAGAAAGTCTAACAAAGTAGAAAAATTGAGTGATTTCTTTTATGGTCTCGTAATTGGAGCAGGGGTGAGCAAAACCAGGAGTTGTGAGGAAGGCATCTGGGCCCAGGAACCTGAGAATTTTAATCCCAAAAAGCTAAGTTCTCCAAGCTCTGTAGGGAATCAACACAGGTGAGCAGAAATCCCGGTGACTGAATCTGAAATATCAGTTAAGACTCAGCTAAATCATTTGCCACAGGCTACTAGTACATGGTGGCGCTGTGGGCTAAACTGCAGAAGCCTTTGTGTGCTGCAGGGTCAGAAGACCAGCAGTCGTGAGATCGAATCCACGCAACGGAGTGAGCGCCCGTCGCTTTGTCCCAACTCCTCGCCAACCTAGTGGTTCGAAAGCATGTAAATGCGAGTAGATAAATAGGTACCATCTCGGTGGGAAGGTAAACAGGAGGTCTAAGTCGCGCTGGCCACGTGACAACGGAAACTGTCTTTGGACAAACGCTGGCTCCACGGCTCAGAAACGGGGATGAGCACCACCCCCTAGAGTCGAACACGACTGACTAAAATGTCAAGGGGAACCTTTACCTTTACCTTACTAGTAATTGGGGCACTAACTAAGCAAATGGCTCCTTTCTCATTTCTTTCCTTCCTTCTGCACCTCAGCATATCTCTGAAGCCTCAAGCTAGTCTACAGATGGAGCATGGGCACCTGAATGAAAAATATCATCTCCTCAGCAGAAAAGTAGGAACCAAGCACTAATGAAGATTGATTAATTTATTTCTTTTCTTTAAGGGGAAAGTTTAGGTCTTTCAGTGAGAAACTCATAATCCTGCTACCAGAAAACATTTCTTTCATACCTCCCCAGTAACACCAACGGAGAACAATCAAAACAAATGAATTCCGAAATAGTGTGTTGACTTGCCTCTGTAGATTTATATTGATGCATCCATAAACAGCTATCCGCTGGTGATTACTTCTGTTTCCATAAGAAAAATGTAGCCATCTGCACACATGAATTCACAATGGAGATTCACTGGGGGGGGGGGAACACTTTCACTGAAGAATGTGATCATTTATCAAACCTACAGAGCGTTTCTGAGGGGGGAAATGTTCACAAAGCAATATACATCATCCAAAGTACAAACACAATGCCAGTAACATGTAGTGGATAAAGTGCCAGACTAGGGCTCAAGGCATGAGTTCAAATCCCTTTCAGCCATAGAAACTCATGGGGGGGGGTGGTTTCAACATTTTTACCTCCAGAGATAGTTCAGGCTTGATTTGATCCAAGACCCACTTGTTCATCTTTCTGGCAGTCCAGGGTATCCATAAACCTCTCTTCCAATACATGATTTGAATGAATTAGGGTTTTTTCCCCTGTCAGCTTCCTTCACTGTCCAGCTTTCACACCCATACATGATGATCAGGAATGCAAGAGCGTTGATTATCTTGGTCTTAGTCTCCAGTGACACATCCTTACACTTGATCTTTTCTAATTCCTTCATGGCATGAAAAGTAGGTATAGATATGATCAAAAATATGGGTGTCACAGTCACTGGTTATTCAATGAAAAGGAACTTTTCATTAGAGTTTTCAACAGCAAGATTTATCTGTTGTTTGACCCGAATATTTAAAAGAATATCAGTCAGCTATGAAGGATCTTGATCCCAGGTTAGAATAAGTTCTATACACCAATGCACTGTTTTCCAGGAACTATTGTGTTTATCAAGGACATTTTCAATTAGACATCTTGGATTCTAGAGACCAGTGTTATTCATGATATAAAAGCTTTCACAGAGGTTACACAAGTTGCTTTTGGAGCGCGATCAAAATATTAGGCCAACACCCTGTAACTCTCCTCCCTTCCACCTTCACCCCACACTTCCTTTACGGCACTGCTGTTATTGTATTTAAATGTGGATAAACTTTTCTCGGGAAGGTGATTGCTCACAGAGGTTAATTTTAAACTCACAGACTTAGATCAGGCTTTGTGTGTGTGAACAGACCTGTCATCATGCATTCCAGGTTGCTCTCCAAAATGAATGTGGCTCTCCTCAGCCCCGTTTGGGTAGCAGACATTCCTTCTGCTCTGCATTAATCCAATTACTGAACACCTGCAGACATGCAATAGCAGTTTGGAAGCCAAGTCCCTTAGACATGGTTTTTCAGGAGAAGGTAATCTTGCCATCCTGCTATCAGGAGTCGTGTTACACACCTGGCCGAGTGGTGTGTGTGTGTGTGTGTGTGTGTGTGTGTGTGTGTGTGTGTGTGTGTGTGTGTGTGTGTGTGTGTGTGTGTGTGTGTGTGTGTGATTTTACTGCCATCTGCCATGGAGTCCATTAAAATGTTATGAACTTATAGATGATTTTTTTAAAAAAAATTGAAATCTCAATTTTAGTTTTCAAATATTTACACAATGGCACGACTGAAAAGCAACATCTCAAGAGCCCACTCAAACATGTTCCAAAAGAGCCATTAAAATAGAAGGATGACTCACGCGTGCACACATTTTGCCATGCTGTTCCTGTTCTCAGGGTTTTTCATCTGATAACCACCAACACACATTCCGAAGTGAAGTTCTGAAACATGAAATAATTGTTTTCCTTGCTCTTTCTTTTTTTAAAAGAAAAGCTTTCATTTACCCATCCTTTTTTCATTTAAATTTCTTGTGTGGTGTACTTTCAGTCCTTCAGGACACATTACCACAACTGCAGGCTTGTCCACCACCGTCTATTGGACAGCATCTTTGACTACAGGCTGACTTTTTTTGCTTAAGATGGGTGGGAATGGGGAGCACTTCATTCAGACCCTTTATAAAAGAGCATTATGAGGGGACCCAGCTGTAAAACCATTGTGTCTCTCTTCCTCACAGGTGAAGAGAAGGAATTGTGCAAACTAACCATGTCAAAAGTTGCAGTCTATCCCCTGGTGTTACCAAACTCAAACAATGTGTGCATCTTGTTCAGACTGTGTATCTTCCGCAATTTGATCAAATGACTCACAACTACAATGGCTGCTGCCTTGATGAATTCGAAGAATCAAAAGAAGTAGCAGATGCGGGTTATTTGCATCTTTTTGAGTTTTTTATGCTTGTTCAGTGTGGGTTCAGGCATGCCTGAGTTCTGTTTCTTAAATGGAAAGAACACTGGATGTAAGCAGGCTACTGTAAAGATATTCTGCACATATTGCAGGAGTCTTAAAAAGGAAAAGAAATGCTCCTGTATCACTCTTGTTCTGGAGGTGAGGAATATCATCGAGTCTGGAAATATCTTGCCAAGGCATCC